TAATGTTGCGGTGAATCCCATTATTCGTTGGTAAAAGAGTAGCCCAAGAGTTGGCGGTGAGTAGTGATGACTAGCTGCCTTTCACTGCAAAATTAGGAACGTCTAGTGCAGATAGCCCTCATGTAGCTTTGAGCGAAATTCAAAACAAACAAACAAACCTAATGAGATTTTGATGTTCCTGTCCGTTAAATATGATCTTATTTTTAGAGACCAAAATATATGTAATATATCCTTAATTAATAGAAATATTTTTGACATTCACTTCAATCTTATTTCTGAAAACTGCATAAAAAACCCGTAAGGAAATGTTCGCCCCCTGTTGTATCTTTTATAAGTCTAATACCGGAAGCATGTTTGTTTGCTGATTGTTTTGGTTGTTAAGTCTGTTGTGTGTGTATAAGCATCGGAGGGCGTTGATGACAAGTATATGTAGTTCCGTTGGGTAATTGAGCCATACGTCTTACAACCTCCATCAGTACGTGTCTAGTCGGCTTTAATAGCGTTATTTAGATAACTACCGTCGTATGGGGATGATATGTTGTGATTTTGTATGCGCTGAACAGATCTGAATCATCAGGACTCATTAGGCCTATGTGCTTAGTGCGGTTTTTTGTCACTTTGCTTTCTTGGCGTTACAAAACTTTTTATTGGAAATGGCTAAGTCGAAGAAAAACTGGTTTTCTTATTACACATTTTTTCGACGTTCAAGAAAAAACAAAAGGTAGGGTAGTAACAATTTCAGAATAATGCCTAATTTTCATCATAACAAAAATTAGATGTTAGATGTAGTTAAATGATCTGGCTTTAATATAAAAAAAAACGCTTTCGAAAAGTATAATTTTTAAATAGAGTTAGCTACAGGTTGCTGCTGATTGGCTGTCTTCTCTCTGATCAGTGATTTAAAATTAAGAACAGCGGCAGATAGCCTTAGTAACTTTGCTTTGTAAACTAAATTCAGAAACTGTTTGTTTTTCTCTTGGTATATATTTTTCTGTTCCCCCCAGTGGCACGACGGTATGTCTGCGGACTTACAGCGCTAGAAATCGGGTTTCGGTGCCCGTGGTGGGCAGAGCACAGATATCCCGTTATATAGCTTTGTGCTTAACTACAAACAAACAAACAAAATTTATTTTCTAGATCTTTCCACGTTAAAAGTTTTGTTTTCCTACCGAAAGTGGTTCTAGCCACACAGAAAACACATTATACCAAAGCAGTCTTTATTAGTAGATTTTTATTTGTTAATATCATGTTTGTTTGTTTCAAAAACTCGCGCAACGCTACACAAGAGCTATGTACGCTAGCCATCTTTAATTTTGAACTGATAAACTAGATAGGAAGCAGCTAGAACTCACCATCAACTGTTGGACTACTGCAATTGAATATTGAGACTTGACCATCACTCTTGTAAAGTATTCATGGTCCAAAAGTATTGGGCGAGTTGTTTTTGTGGCAACGGGACGTAAAACATGAATCATGAGATTCACAGTCCGGCACACTAACTACTGAACCACGCCTGGCCAGATTCACAATTTGGCACACTAACCACTGGTATTTGTTTTATTTACAAATTCAACTTAGTTTTAATGGGTAAGGTACTGTTTTATGAACTGGTTTTAGTGGGCAAGGTACTGTTTTATGAATTGGTTTTAGTGGGTAAGGTACTGTTTTATGAACTGGTTTTGAGAAAAATTGCGGGACATTAATTTCTTGTTTCTGTTGGTGTGCACAGAAAAATTCTCTTATATAAAACACAGTAAAAAAATATGAATTTTACCTACATCGTAAATTTACGCTGCATAAAACAGTTTATCAGCGTGAAGGATTTTTGTTTATTTAAAGTAATACAATGGGCCATCTACGCTGTGCCTACCGCGGGAATCGAATCCCAAATTTTAATAGTGTAAGCCCTCAAGCTCACCACTGTGAGTATAAGTGTGCGTTAATTTCAATGAAATCATAAATTAATTAGAAGAAGTACAGCAAAGGCTGTACAATGTTTCCGTATATTAAAAAAACGATCGATGCGAGGTTCTTTTGCTTTATACAAAATTCTATGTTGATTACACATGATAAAACGGCTAGACATACAAGAGCGCTAATAAAAAAATATTAAAAATTTTAATTACCTTAGGTTACACATGGGCCAATTTTGGTTATTTGTGAATATAATGAAAAATGTGTGAGAAAACAATTATAAGCCCCAGTGCTGAATAGGAACGAACCCATTATCTGTGAAAAACCAGAGCTAAGTTATGGAGATTCAGTATCCGAGCTCTCAAGTGGAGAGTAATTTCTGCAAGGGACCAAACACAATTTTCATAATTAAAAATTTATCAAACATTATTCCATAATTCCAAGACCCTGTTATGGAACATACAGATTTTGAAATATAAGACCTGATGTAGAATGATAACAAGTGAAATAAATGTCTCGTTCAGAATCGCATTGATAGAAAATATATAAGAATAAACATAAATTTATTAACGCTATCGAAATTTTTTTATGTACTATATCGAACAAGTCCGGGCTTTTCCACCCACCCGCTTTTCGGTAATGTTTAATGATGACGCTTGTGAACGGCCCCTACCGATAAGATAGTCTAACTATTTTGCTTTTCGTTGCCAAGTTTTATGTATGGGCCGGATTTTTACAGTAGGTGTCTGTGACTTGTTGGCGATAAATTTCAACAATAAACAACGAAAACAAATCCAATTCCCGAAAAATCTTTAGTTTTTATTTCAAGAGGATAGGAAAGAAGAATAAATTCGATGACGAGGAACCCACTTTGAGACTAATAATGCTTAAAGACGGCATAACAGCAAATGTTAAACTTATATTAAAGTTTTTCTTCATTACCCATTCAAGCCGTCTCCAATCATTATTGAAAGAAGATTAAATAAAACTCTTATAATTGCCGCTTTTCTTTAAGCGACTGGTATGTTTTGTTTTGATGTGTGGAAGTTGATAATGCAGAATTTACATATCAGTTTCGTGGGCAAACTATACGTTACCCCTTACAGGCTAGGTTAGGCTTAGTTAATTTGTGTAATGTCAATAACCTGAGTCTTCAATTCTACAGGATGACTATAAAAAGATTTAAATTGTTACTTATCAAAAACTACTTGTCATATGGTAATTAAATTTCACGAAATTATAAGGTTTATTCAGGATAATCTGGGCGTGGTAAAGGGGTATTTCATAACCACAATATACGGCACTCGTAACTTAGTTTGTTTTATTTTTCACTTCTCACTCTTTCAACAGTACGAGACTTGAGGATTTGAACAAAATGCATGCCAGTGTACCGGATATTACGAGAACCAATGAACACTGTCCAGAACAAATGATGCATCATCGTGTAGAATGGAGCTTGATATGCTGATTGAGAATGACGGATATCATATTGAATATCCATACCATGTTAAAACTTTCCTCAATAAAACTCGTGATTTTGAACGCACTCCTAGTGAATTTTGTTTTTGAGATATTAGTTATTTTTTGTTGTCTTAGCGAGGTATCGAACCCCAGATTGTAGAGTTGTAAGTCCGTAAACTTACGCTGATCCTCCGGGGGACTTTATGATATGATGAATGATTAAAGTGGAAATTATTGTAAAGAGAAATCCCGAAATCGAAAGAAATTAAAACTGCAAAGTAGCTTTAGAAGATGCTGCTACGCAACAGAGGACTTAATCAGCCTCTGGGGAGTTTTCACCTTCGAGCTCCTACTGGCTGGCGTAGCTGGGTAGGATCTGGGGGAATCTCTCCCTGAAAATTGTTATTATTTCACTCCCTGTGCTTTTTACTCCATTTTTACCATTATATTTTTATATCTTTTAAATGTGGGATGAATAAATGTTGATCAGTGACCTCAGTCAGCATGAAATAGTCTCTCATTGTAAATTTCAGGCCTGTAAGGGGTACTTGCTTAATTAAAATTATTTATATTGCATGCCAGTGGACATGGAACTAGTTTGGAAGCATAAAATAAAGTAATTCTTACACAGAGTTAATGTGGCGCCAGTTATTAAATATGTTTTATCTACGTAAGTTAAATAATGTGCAGTAGGCATATGTATAATTCAGTACCTGGAGCCCGTAGGTTTTATACTCTGGTCTAAGTGACAGGAGCCTTTATTTAACGTTGGTGCCAGTAGTTTTTATACTCTGGTCTAAGTAACAGGAGCCTAGATTTAACGTTGGAACCCGTAGTTTTTACACTCTGGTCTAAGTAACAGGAGCCTAGATTTAACGTTGGAACCCGTAGTTTTTACACTCTGGTCTAAGTGACACAAGCCTTTATTTAACGTTGGGGTCAGTAGTTTTTATACTCTGGTCTAAGTAACATGAGCCTAGTTTTAACGTTGGGGTTAGTAGTTTTTAAACTGTGTTTTAAGTGACATGAGTCTAGATTTAACGTTGGATCCAGTAGTTTTTATACAATGGTCTAAGTGACAATAGCCTATATCTAACATTAAAGCCAGTAGTTTTCATACCATGGTGTGAGTGACATGAGTCTATATCTAACATTAAAGCCCATAGGTTTTATAGCATGGTGTAAGTGACATGAGCCTATATCTAACATTAAAGCCCATAGGTTTTATAGCATGGTGTAAGTGACATGAGCCTATACCTAACATTAGAGCCAGTAGTTTTTATACTATGGTGTAAGTAACATGAGCCTATATCTAACATTAGAGCCATTAGTTTTTATACTATGGTGTAAGTAACATGAGCCTAGATCCAACGTTGGAGCTAGTAGCTTTGTATACAAGGATATTGGCGGCATAGACTTAGATCTAACACTGATTTTAGACTTATACGCTCCTGCTTACAGTAAATGATTAAAATGAATAGAAATTATAGAATAATGAACAAACACATACCTTCTTACAAAAAAAAACAACAACTCTATACTTCTTCATGAAAGTAACATTATTCGAGAACTCTAACAGATCTACAATATACAAATTATAATTTATAAATTATAATTCTTCCTAGAAGTTCCCCTACCGGCAAATCCGAAACTGCCAAAGCTGCAGAAGAACAACTTAGTCTAAACACTTCGGACAAGACCCCAGCGACAATGCCTCGTCTTGGACATTATTCAGAGAAATATGAACTAAACGGTCCTCAAACAAGTAAAAGCAAGGATACGTACGGGTCTTTCAATGCGAGGGATGATGACGATGATTCTGAGTTTATAATTCAACGGGATCAACTGGTGAGTACTGAGCACGTTTCTTATTATTCGTTTGTTCAGGATTTCCTCTGTTTTAATTGGTTTGAAAAGTTTATCTATTCACGAAAAGAAATATTAGTAAAAATGACGATGCCAGTTCGACTGGTGGAAACTGTTTCGAATTTCTGCGCAAAATCCTTTCAGTTCGAGTAGTATAAACACCACACACACCATCCATCGTTCACATGAAAAAGAATAGAAGTGCTGCCACCTGGCAGAACATACAAATAATAAACTGTGAACTTTGGTTTTGTCTGTTTGTCAAAATATGAGTATTTTTCCAAAATTTATTCTATCAGTTTTAATATCTAAAAACGTGGTAATGGCAGGAACCCCAAACTTGGCAAGAGCAGAGTTCGTTGTTTGGAAGTTGGAATGTATAAGTCATGAAACATTTCTTTTGGTTTAGTTTGGCAAAGCTACACGAGGGCTATCTGCGCTAGCCGTCCGTAAATTAGCAGTGAAAGACTAGAAGGAAGGCAGCTAATTATCATCATCCACCGCCAACTCCTAGGCTACTCTTTTAACAACGAATAGTGGGATTGGGCGTTACATTATAACGCCCCTACGGTTGAAAGGGCGAGCATGTTTAGCGGGGTGGAGATTCGAACCCGCGACCCGTAGATTGCGAGTCGAGCGCCCTATTTTTTATTTTATTGGAGTAAAATTACATTCATTTGATGTCGTAACGAAAAGTTTTGAACAGAACATAACTGCAGTGTAAAAATATAAAAGCTTTTCTTTGTTGTCCGTTGAATTGCATTGAATAAGGAAAGTAATTTTTCTCTCTCTCTCACACACACACATATAAAAATAGCGTTTCAGCACACTGACTGGCTTATTAAAGTAATATACGTTAAACTTTTTGCCCTCCGGTGGCTTAGCGGTATGTCTGAAAGATCCTCACGCTAAAACGGTTTTCGATATCCCCGGTAGGCATAGAGTAGATAGCCCATTCTAGAGCTTTGTGTTTGTTAACATTATTTCGAAGGTAAAATCCTAACAGCTAAGACAAAGAAAAACAAAATAGAAAGAGCAACACCAGCATAAACTATAAGTACACTGAAACTTCTTTTGTTAAAGTCAAACAAGCAACAGTGTATACATGTGTCACAGTTGAAATAACTGGTAATTTCACCCTTCCATAACTAATTTACGATACATTTTTTGTAAGGTATGTTCATATTTATATATATTTTTTAAATTCCATGCAGGTGTTCTGCATGTACTTCAGAAATACTTGTAAATCGGATGTTGAAGGGTTGTAAACATTTACCAATTATTTTACTTAAGTAAATATTACATACTTCGTCAAAGGCTATTTCATAGAAGCTTGATAGTGACATAGATACTTGTACAAACTGGTATGAGTTGTCTCCTTTGAATATGACATTTATGTCAACGAATAATCGTTGACGTAAGTAATCTATGGGATACCACATTATGACCCATTTATCTGACTTAAAAGTATGGTATAAAAAAATAAAAAGTGTGTTTTTTTTGTGCTTTACGAACAACAATAAGTACATTGTTACTTTTCGACCAGAACTAATGTTGAGCTACAGTGACAATTACGTTGTTATTTGGTCATCAACTGATTGGTTTTCGGTTTTTCAAAAAGTACTTCTATAGGAGGGTGAGATCAATTTGAAATGTGTTTCTTTTTTCTACTTTTGTTCGCGTTTTTTGTTTTTGTTGTTAGCCGTCTAAGTAGATTGTTGACTTCTTTCTTCTTCTTCATTTAGTCTGTCTTCTGTTATCGTTTACTTTGTATAATTGGGGTGATTTGATAAGGTCGTTTAATTGATTCCTAAAAACTAATCAGCAGTTGTATTACAAATATCCAAGTCAAATATATATATATATACTACCCAAAATCAAGTCTTTTATAGACCGTATGTGATAAAAATTACTGTAGTCCAGTATTTCAGAGATATTTTAAACCGGTATATCACACTTAGGGTTACTTTCGATATAATTAAGACGAGGAGAAGTGTTAGCTCTAGAACTGTCAGCTTTTAAACATATTGTTTTAAAACTATTTGTGCACCAAGTTGCTAGTAGATCCCAATTTTGTTGGTTACAAAGTTCCTAATAACATACAACTCACAGAAAAAATTGAAATTAATTGTAATGTTGATACTATCTCTGTTTTATGGATTACTGGTGGAGTCGTTTGTGTATTTATTATAGGTAATGAGTGATTTCAGCCAATTTGTTTCGTCGCTTTTTTTTTCCTCACACTGGGTGTTCTAACAGGCAAACACAAACATTCTCGATATGTAGATCCGACCAGCAGTGGACAGTACAAAAACAGGTCGGTAATTTAAAGATTGAAATGCATTCGTAGTTCCAATGAATTCGGCGAACATCTTTGAAATTTGTGACATTGAAAATTTCCTAAGTGTACAGGAAAAATGGATCCCCTTAAAAATGCATACACAAGTTAGTACTAAGCTGTTATATAAAAGTCTGTAAGATACGTTATGTGTCTGAAGAATTCTCTTCATCAACGCTCCCCAAACTTTTTTGGCCACGGAACAGTTTTCAGCTGAGAAAAAGCTTACGGAACATTAGACATATTATAACGCCCCCACGGCTGAAAGGGCGAGCATGGATTCGAACCTGCTCCCCTCAGATTGCGCTTCGAGCGCCCTAAACATCTGGCCATGCAGGGCCATCCCCAACTTTGAGTCCCCTTGTGAGAAAGCAGTAATTTTACAGACATATATCGCTAAAATTGGGGGTTCGATTCCCCACGGTGGACATAGCTCAGCTATTATATTGTGTAGCTTTGCGCTAAAAAACAACAACCAAAGCCAAACTCCAATTTCGAATTGATTGCCAAAAGAGAAGACAGTCAGCAACACCCATAACCAACTCCTTGGCCAATCCTGTTAGATCGCATGGTGTGCGGTGTACACTTTTGCGGTAATGGTTCGCGAACCGTGAATGTTCGTATTCACAGACCGACACGCTAACCACTACCGCCAAACACGTCTCCGGCACACTAACCATTACCACCAAACACGACTACGGTACACTAACCACTATTACCAAACCTGTCTACGGTACACTAACCACTATTACCAAACCCGTCGCTGGCACACTAACCACTACCACCAAACACGTCTACGGTACACTAACCACTACCGTCAAACACGTCTCAGGCACAATAACCACTATTACTAAACCCGTCTCCGGCACACTAACCACTACCGTCAAACACGTCTACGGTACAATAACCACTATTACTAAACCCGTCTCCGGCACACCAACCACTACCACCAAACACGTCTACGGTACAATA